GGGTTTAGTTTTAAGTGTTTAGGGGGTTTTAAGTGTCAAAACATTTTTAGGGTTTAGAATTTTAAGATATAGGCTTTACAAATCTATAATTATTGATATTTTTGTAAATGGACACCCCTAAATGGCATTCTTGCAAATGTGCATACAAAAAGTAGCATTTTTGTAATTGCCCCTGCATTATTTATATATGAATTACATTTCACTAAAAAAAGATATATATACCTCAAAAATACAATATACATAAAAATATATTTTTGACGTGTGTAGAGAAGAGAGAATCTAATGTGTATGACTCATAACTTCTTCTTTTTGGTCTAAGTATGAGTATGACTCATAACTTTCGCGTCGATAGGTTGAATTTGTTAGTTCATGATATTTTGGGGGATCATGAAATCAGATTCTAAGTTCGAACTCCGGAGGTTAATTCAGTTTATTCTGATCTTCAGTAAAAAATAACCAAATATAAGATGTAAACCCTAGAAACAATTGTTACTCATCAGTCCTAAAAAGGTCAAAAGAATCATAAGTCCACAACGTATTTGTCGAATATAATAAGATATTTTTCAGCAAACCCACCTTTTTATTAGGACATTTGACATACATTGTAATATCTAAATTTTGGAAAAAAAACAAGGGTGAAAATGAATAAAAATGTGTCTATCTATATATTACACAATTTTTACCTAACTATATATTTTATCTAAATTTCGAAATTATCATGAATAGAATGATTTTCAGCGTACATGCAAATGATGATAAACACACATGAGATTCTATTTGTTGGTGATTTATTTAATAAATATTGGAAATCTTTTTAGAATGATCAGTTGTCTGATGAAACAAAAACTACAAACTGTGAACAACATGACAAACTTGTTCAGGACACTGTGGTCAACTGGTAATTAAGGAGACGAGACTAGGATACCAATACGTTCCAGGTTTGATATACCTGCTACGTGAAACTAAATCACATGGTCCTGGACTCCACATGAATATGGGCTCTTACTTTCGGTCCATTTGCATATCCGGAGAGAGTGTCTATCCATGGGTTGCACTTTCTCCAGGAATTGTTTGGACCTTTGACCTAAAATTTATCCTGAGTTATAAAAACAAAAAAAAAACTTGACAAACTTTAATGTAGTTAAACGCCAAAGTATATAGATCGCGCATAATCGTGTACAGTATTTTGAAGCTAAAAAGAGATGATCCTTAATTATAAACATATTCAACATTTTGATTTTGACCATATGATGATCGTATATAAGATCTAAGTGATCAAACAGTACACACACGATTCTCCCGTGAATGAAGAATCTAGTGAAGGAGATATTTAAGAGTAAGTTATAAGATTTCTTTTGGTCGTCACATGGGACTAGGAAGGAACAAAAATGTGTGTTTTTGGTTTGTTTAGTCTTTTCGGAAGAGTAGTCACCACTACATTCAATAAAGTTGAAAGATTCCAGACCACGTATAGTCTCAAACCACATGCATCTCGAAGGAGAAAATTCATTAAATATATATGATTGGCTACAAAGTTGATAAAAAATAATATATTATTTCAGAATAACAACTAAATATCCGATATTCTCCAAGGTACGTAAAACATAATCCAATACTAGATGAATACATTGAAT